TGGGGGATCACCAGGGCCAGCCCATCTGCCCGGGCACCTGCTGGTGGCCTGGAGTGTCCCAATGCCGCCAGTGCCAGCTCAGCCGGGGCACGGGCAGAGTGCTGGTGCCAGCAGCTCCCTGTCGCTCTGCTGCCCACCCACCTGCTGCCTCCTGCCGCCCATACCTCCACATCCTGGGCCAGCTCGAACACCAGTGCGATGCTTTCCCCTGCCAGGATGCGCAGTGCGACGCTGCTGCTGGACAGCAGCGGGGGCAGCTTCAGCCAGCAACTGGGGACAGGGAGGTAGGAGGGCAGTCAAGTGTCTGTGGGCCACCCCAGGGGCTCCCCACTCCATAGCCAGCCACCCCATGCCAGCACTCGCACCTCCATGCCCCACTCACTTGTCCAATATGCTCTTGATGTGGGAGGCGGGGCAGATGGTGAGGAGCAGGGACCATGACTGGAGTGCGCTGCAGTGCAGAGGGCCGTGCTGGGTGGGTGCTGAGCCCCCCTCGCTTGCACTGGCAAGGCTGAAGACACCCTCCAGGCAGGACAGGCACGAGACCAGGTCCTAGAGAAAGGAAACCTGCCTGTCAGACCACAGTTGCCAGGAAGACACCATGGTGAAGCCAGACACTAGTGACCAAAGGGGACCCACCCTGCCCAGGGGCACCAGGAGCTCCCTGGGGCAGGAGGGACTCCTCCACCCAGGACACTCCGTCTCTGCGAGGCAGGCTTCGCCCCCAGCTCAGCTCCATGCTGTGTGGAGAAGGGGCCGGGGCCATCTCTGATGTTTCTGTGCCCCTTCCCCGGCTCAGCTCCAAGCTGCCCCAGCACTCCGAGCTGAATGTGGGTGGCACGGCAGCCCCCAGGGTGCCCTCCAGCAGGGGTATGGATGACATCTGGGTGCAGTTACCTCAAGATCAGCAGCAGCAATGTAGCAACACATGCCCAGGGCCATGGCACACTGGTGAGAGATGTGGGGAAAAGGCAGTCACAGGAGGCAGAGCCAACCCAGATCCAGCACCCGACCAACGGGAAGCAGGCTTGGAGTGCCCTTGCTTTACCCCACTGCTCCCCACAGCACACAATACTGCCACCCTCCCGTGACCATGGGGCCCCCAAAGCCGTTGCCCAGGCTTTCCCCACTGCCGAGGTGCCTGCTGTGTCCAGGAGAAATGGGGTCGAGCCGTACACTCTGCCGGGCGCCAGGGCTAGCTGTACTGTCCATCAGGACGCTGAACAGTAGGGGCTTCAGGCTGCGAAACAGCTCTTCCCCCTCCAGGCCAGAGCCCATCTGGAGGCAGAGGAGGGTGAGAACGGTGCCTGCCAGTGCCTGTTCCTCCCCTTTACCTGCGGGCAGCACGAGAAAGA